GTTAGCGGGCAGTGGTGACTGGCCCCGTAGAGGTTTCTCATGTCGGAGGGGAAGGAGGGGGTTGGCACTATAAGGACTGACGTTATTATTAGCCGTGTCTACTGCAAAACGAAACAGCTCGATCAAATACATTGCAAACTAAGCAATGCCTTGAACCCGGTCGAAGCCGTTGCCTCAGCGTTCTTTAATTGTATGCATTAACAGCGAGGAAGATTGCAACGACATACTGATTTTTGGAGGGGAGGCAAATATATTGGAGCTCTTACGAAACGAAGTTATTCTGTAATGTCGTTAGTTCCCTTCTTTCTAACATGGATGCTGCGTGAAATCCGAAAACAACTGGATCCAAAATACTTGGGATATATTTAGGGTATAGCCAATCTGTAGTGTGTGAGAAGAGAAAAAACCTTTTATTTATTAAAGCACTGGCGTTATGCATAAGTAGTTTCTGTTTGCATTTTAGAAATAGAGCATTTAAATTTCAGCATGACACAAGATTTTCTTACAAACCGCCAATTTCACTGAACAAGGAATTTTTCCATCTGTGCCTCGATGCAGCCTTGCGGTCTCTGGTTTGGGTGCATGACAGCAATTGGCAGATCGTAGTGAGAAAAAAATGAGAAAATGGCAATCTTGCATGGCTATACCATAACTTGTGGTAGAGACTGCTACGCCGCTGATGCTGCGTGCGCCATACAGTTGCAGTTAGCTTTGATCGACTTGATTGACTATTAAAAATGAATTTAAATTGTAAATCCTATATTTTCTCAAAATAAACAAATGATGTAGAGCAGACGATCAGAGATTTTTCTCTATTTCTCGTCTCACTACCCAGATGCACTCAATATTATTTGATGCGTCAGTTATGAGATGATCAGAGGAAGAATTTTCATTGTTATCAGGAATCGCCGGCTGACGTTCCTTTCATTTGTCTGATATTGGATGGCCACATGCAGATGGCTGTATCAACGGCACATCTAATGCGATGAAAATGAATAGGACTAACACGCATTTACGCAAATATTGAAAAGAAGTGGCTACAGGATATATTTCTGCCCAACTCCAATGTTGTTTTCTATGGATAAAAGTATCATCCAGCAGATTCTGAGAAACTTTCGACGTTTAGAAAAGTTATTAATGCTAATAGAAAAGTTGGTAGCAATAAGTTATAGAAAGAACCTTTTCAGCATCATAAAAAAGAATCCGCACAATTAGAAACAGGTTATACATTAGCCGATTACCCATCAGCTGCTTGCTAACAACTGTATCATCTCTGTATGCTGATATCTGTTCTTCCGTGCGATTTGAACCAGTCGGCCTGCTGATTTTATGTCATGAATAGTTCAGTTTCTAGTGACTTGATGCGACGAGGCAAAAGTTTATTCATAGAGGTTAAAGTACCTATTTGCTATTAAAGAAGCAGCATACAACTTTACATAATTTCACTGCTTCTGCCATAGTGCTCATATATCACCGTTGTTATTTTTCTCAGCTGTTTCAGAATGTGTTTATGAAATAGTACAATAATTCCTTAAATTTATATCCAGGTTGATCGGCTTGCCATTGAACAGCCTTTCATCGCAGATTGCGAACTCAACAAACAGGCATGTCAGTCAATATCGCAGTTAATATGTCAAAATCGAAATCACCTAATATCCACTACAAGGCGGATTTTCAAGGTGTCACAAAGTTTGCGTGCCTTTCTGATCTCAGTTCATCTATATATCCACAAAGACAAGTGCTTTCACTGCTAATTTGAATCACGATTATCGACCATTCAAATTGATCTTCAATTTGCTCATCATACAGCACTGTATGACTACGCTCAATAATAAACAGCTTTGTTATTAAACAGGCATTTTATAGACAGATTTCTCTATGAAGGATTACCCGGTCTTAAGTCCAAAAATGACATTCTGCCAAAAGCGCTCAAAACAAGGCTATTCTCCTATTTAATTCTGATTGGATAGTGCGTCTTTGGAATCAAAGAGCCGAAACACCTAAACTGGTCGACTTTCTCCGTCTTGCTCTCTCTGCACCACTAGAAGATGATATGTATATTGGGTTCCACGTATCCTCTGAGCGTTAAAGAAAAGGCGTGCTTTCCCTACTGTGTTGCAACAGAAGCTGTAAAGTGACACATCCGGACCCTCATGCCAATAACCAAGACAGTATCATCCGCGTTATCGAGGTTAGAAAGATATTTAGACGAATATCTAGAGCTGTACGCTCCCTCGTTCCACTGATCTTGCCAGAATCCACACAGAGTCAGAGAAAAATGATGAAGACAATTGTGAGCGGAAAAAACGAGAGTACTTTTATGGTTCAAGTTTACAGTTAATCGGGAACGATTCGGTAGTCTTTTTGAACCTTCAGAGCAGACGTGGTTCTACTTACATCTCTTCCAAAATGGAAATGATTTGTTCAAATACACCACAGCACGTGAAAATTTTTCGCATTATCGCATGATATATTTAATCAATTCCAGCTTCAAGACGGAGGAAACTGGCAAACCAAGGCAACTAGAACCATCGACGTTACTCGATTTTTAATATTTTCCTAGAAAATGAGTGTACCGGCAGGAAACCTGCATGATTTCTGCAGAGTTTTCTACCAAATACCTATATCAGCTATTCCAGGAAAATCTAAAGAAAGAATTTCTCAGGAATAGACAGCCGGTTATATCAAGATAACTAAGGCATTCGGTTACCTACTCACTTTCAAATATGGGAATAATCATTCCACATTTGAATTCTTCAAGAAACCTCTTTGAAGATTGTATTTAAAAAAATATGGAGCTTTCCCATAACTACTATACTTGAATAACTCCAGAGGAACTTTATTTATGCCTCAGACTCTCTTCACTTCGATGTGCACAATGGCATTTCGAAGTGGGAAAGGGAAATTCTGGAGCGCAGATGCCTAGCAGCTGTTGCAAATGTTCAGTCACACACCTAAAGCGTTCCTTCTTGAGTCATAGATAGAGAGGGGAGCAAGTTTTCTGCTCACAGAGCAACTGCTGTAATCTTTAGAACATCGCTCACCAGTCAAACCTATCTGACTGCTTTCTCGACCTTCCTGACTTAACCCGCGAACTAAAGTCATCTGTCCAACTTGTAGCTCTGGTTAACAGCAAGAACAAGGCAACGATGAGTTGCCTTCGACGGTGCCGCTGGGTAATTCAGGTACTACTTTCGCGTCTGATTACTCTACTCTCTGATGGCTAAGGTGTTTTTCATTTCCATAGGCAGTAAATTCTATTCCTCCTGATCCTAGTTACGTTTTTTTACTGAAGAAATGACGTCATCTTGGAAGTTCCCGTTGACTTCATTGACATCGCCATTTTAGAAATGGGTACTAAGGGCGGCAATAAAGTATCTCCCTGCTTCCTTTTGTCGGATCTATCGCGTCACCTTGTCCTTACGTAGCGTGTCTTCATCGAGACGGTAATGTGTTTCAGCCAGACGATGTCTGTGAGAGAGCTAATTTGGCATGAAGTTCCGCTATGATCACTTGGAGATCATACTAAATGCAGAGCCCACGCCTAAACAGATTCACAAGTAACAAGCTTCTCCATTTGCGGAGGACGGTAATGTTATCCATTTGAGATTATAGGTTTCCGTTACGGGATGTCAATGGA